ATCCTCCTGCCTCAGCCTCCCAAGTAGCTGGGACTACAGGCACGCACCGCCATGCCTGGCTAATATTTTCCAAATATTTTTGTTGTCCAGATAATTTCTTTCTATTTTTTTAGTAGAGACGGAGTCTCACTCTTTTTCAGACTGGTCTTGAACTCCTGACCTTGAGCGATCCTCCTGCTTCGGCCTCCTAGAATGCTAGGATTACAGGTGTGAGCCACCACGCCTGGCCGAGATTTCATGTTTAAATTAATAAAATTATTTCCTCTTTAAGTGAAGACAGGTTTCAAAATCTTGGCCTTTCAGAAGTTGTAATGATTCAGTGTATAGGAGAGAGAGTATATATTGACCTTGGAATTCAGAAGTAATTTCGCAGATGACTACTCTGTTTCTTTGAAAATTATTTTAATTATATAACAACTACTTAGTTGTTAGATTTTTATACTCCTCTGGATAATGATCATTTTGCTTTTAATGTTTATATTTTAAATTATGCCAGTGAAACTTTATAGAACTTAGTAACTTGAAAATAGTAAAGTATAGCTATTTAGAATTTAACTTCTAAGATAAAAATAGCCTAATACTGTTATTCTGCCAGTACCATTTTGAAGTGATTACTATAAAGGAATTTAAGTGTCCAAATTTAAACTAATTTATCTCCTTTAAAAAAAAATCCAAAGGCATTTAAAAAATATTCTTAAAGGGGAGTATGAAAATATTAAAATATTAAACAGTTTGACCTATGAAAGGTGGTTTTATATGCTTCTGTATTGTATTGTTATTTGTCAGTGCTTCATATGTGTAGTAATAGAGGTTAATAGAAGTGCAGATAATTGAAAATAAACCAATGAAAAGTATATTTTTTGTTTTTGGAAATTTCGTTTTTAATTTTTAAAATGTGTGGTTCTGATATTCTGTAATCTAATATTAATGGTAATGGTTCTCTATGATTTACATATATTTTCTTGAGTACCTGTATAATTTCTTTTTAGATTTAAATTTCTGCTTGAGAACAATGTAGCTATTAAGAGGACATCAGGATTTTGCCATGTAAAAAGAATATTCACTTATATTAATAGCATAAATAATTCCAGAAAATTTGAAATTTACATATAACTAGATTTCTGTTTTAAGAAAAGATACCACTCATGGCTAACTCTTCTATTTGTGTCTTTGATTTCATTTCATCCTGCCTATTACAGGTCCTAATTCCATCATTTAGTTATTCCTTTATTTCTCGAGTTTATAATTTCTCCAGTTAATTCCTACTCCTTAGTTTAGAAATATGCTCCAGTTAATGATAGATCTTCCCTATTTTTATACAAAGCAAAACAGAACCACCATTTACTTTCTTTTGATTGTGTTATATTTGATTCCTTTCTTTCCGTCTGTGGGTTTTACTTCATCTCTGTCATCTACTTCTGTAATTTGAACCTTTTTAAAAAGTTACTTAGTTGAAATATTCTAGAAGTATTTTTATCCTGTTTTGTTATTTAAATTTCCATGTTTGTGTTTTTCAGAGCATTGAATGAAATGTGGAAATGTCAAAATCTGCTTCGACATCAAGTAAAGGATTTGCTTGACTTAATTAAGCAACCCAAAGTAAGTTAATTTCAAAGAAACATTTTTTTGATGTTGAGTTTTGTAAAACACATGTATTTTAGTTACTATTTACCATTGTTGGTGTGTGTTAAATAATTCTTTCTGTATGGAAGAGTTCTGACTGTAGAACTTACGATTCCTAAATTAGAAAACTCTAATTTTAACACATTGACTGCCATACTAGAAAAAAAATTTTTTTCCTTGGGGCCACGGTGTTTTATTACAAAAATAGAATAAAAACTTTGAAAACAAAATGAACCTTTCTAATTTAATGAAAAATTTGTTATTTTTTATTATTTTCTGTGCATGAGTTATATGCAACTTGAAAAATAGTTCATATGGCTCTCAAGGTAAAGAGGCATCTGAATTACATATGCTACATGAGGCCCTGGGCTCAAAACCAGCGTGAGCTAAATACAACTCACATGGCGGTTAATGTGGTAAAGAAACTTATTACATAGAAAATTTCAAATGTTTTTATCTGCAAAAGGTGTGGCCCAAAAGGAAAGAGAGTGTATTTCTGTGTACTCAAAATTAAGGTTTTTTGGTAGCTTTAAAATAAAGAAATAAGGCTAGGTGAGGTAACTCACACCTGTAATCCTAACACTTTGGGAGGCTGAGACAGGAGCGTCACTTTGAGGCTAGGAGTTCCAGATCAGCCTGAGCAAGAGCAAGACAACCCATCTCTAGAAAAAAATAGAAAAATTAGCTGGGCATGGTGGTGTATGCCTGTAGTCACAGCTATTTGGGAGGCTGAGGCAGGAGGATCACTTTAGCCCAGGAGTTTGAGGTTGTAGTGAGGTCTGATGACACCACTACACTTTAGTCTGGGCAAAAGAGTGAGACTCTGTCTCAAATAAAAAATAATAAATAAAGAAATAATAACTCAGCGTTGTTGGAAGAATAGAAAACAGGATAAAATTAAACTTCATCTTGCCAGTGTAAGATGTTCCCAACATCTTTGTATACTCTTGTGGTTTTAGAAAGTTTTAATAATCATGTAATTATAGTTAGATATCTTGATATTTTTACTTATAATTAATACGATTTTAATGTACTACCTGATCTTCATAATTATAATTTAATAATGGTATTCATCCAGTGAATGTATCATTTTATTTTTGAATGTTTAGAATGATTCTAGGTTTCTTTTTTTAATTCAGAATGCTATATGTAGGCCTGTAAAAGGCATAATTCATCTAAAAAGCAGTGTGTGTGGTCATTTTAAATTGCATTCAGGGAAAACAATGTAGTATTACTCTTTCTTTTTCAGTCTATAGTGATCCCCTCAAACACACCCCCCCCCAACACATATTCCTCTTGTTCGTAAGACCGACATCAATAGATCAATATTGTTTCATCTAAGGGGAAAAAATTTCCAGTTTCCCTAGGCATAAATTCGTCAGTTGCCCTAAAAGCAATAAACTAACACCATTTGTTTGAGTGGTTTATAGAGACCCTCTCACTATTTTTTTTAAACCTTCAAATCAGAACTCATAAGGCATTTTGTACCATTTGTTTGCCTAATTGAAGCTTACATTTGAGTATTTTTGTTTTATAGGCTAACAACCTTTTTGGTTGTTTTATTGAATATAATTTAACCTTTTTTCTATGGTTATTGAGTATATTGAAACTTAAAATATGTTTTCTCTTAAAATAAATGACTCAAAACTAATTTAATGATTCTACTGTTTCCTTTCTCTTAACCCATTGAAATTAGTGTGTTTTAGTCAATAAGCATGTGTTTCAGTCAGTAATCTCTGGATAAAGTACCTCTACTACCTAGAGCTGTATTAATTTACTTACTTCTGGGCAAAGATATAAAAGTGTTAATTAAAAAATATAAGACATTCTTATATGCATGTGTATAACATTATTCCTGATTTTAGGCATTATTGACGTCATAATAGCAGCCAGGTAGAATATTAAATGTGTCTGTCATATGTTGCACAAGCATGATACGTGAGATTGTGATCAAGTATAACTTTGTTTTTTACTTTTACTGTTAGTTTAAAATTTATGTATTTAGTGGGAGCTTTTGACTATTTGACTATTGGTAAAATAGTCTATTGACCTTTTGACTATTGGTAAAAACTTGGGAGGGTCTCATGACTTTCCTGCTCAGTGATGAAAATCAAAGTCGTGAAATCGCAAAATACAATCTCAGTTAAATTAGGATGTTTAGTTCCCTTCTACTTAGTGGAATTTTCTTTTTGCTTATCTTAATTACCAAGTTATCCACATTGAAGAGGAAATTCTCATTCATGTATGGTAGGGTTGAAGAGGAAACAGAATGGAGAAGGATAGTACCCCAAATTGGAATTCTGGTGTGAGAATTCCACATTCTTTCAGATTATTTACTATTCACTTTATACTAAGAATTATAGTAGACATTATAGAGTTAAAGGTAGAAAAAAATACAAAGCTATGCTTAACTTTTGGGTGTTTATATTTCTTCCTGTTTTACCAGGAAGACTCTTAGATACTTAACAATCAGTATGGTTTTTTTGTTTTGGTTTGGTTTTTTGCTTTCTTCATTATTCAGTCTGGTTAAGTCAATTTTTAATTCTTAGCTCAGAAACATAGTCCTTCTACTTCATTTAATTAAACTGATAATGCTCAGTGTCACTCGCAAGTGACTTTGTAATTTCCAGTGTTATACTTTTGTTGGTGCTGTTTCTTTTTCATGCTGATCAGCTTCTTGAAAGCCCAGTATCATCCCGTTCCCCCCGCCCCCAAATAAAACAACAGTAGAAATCATGTTTCTAGACAGAGCTGTTCAGTACTTTAAATTCTAAATATTTGGGAATTCTTGTACTTTATTATACTTTTCCTCTCACTTCTTAGTAAGCTTGCTCTCACTAGGGCTGGTTTGTTTGTTTAATTCATTGCCTTCGATTCAAGGTTTATCTAGATCAGTATTTTGAACAGACTTGCTCAGTGACATCTTTTTGTTTTTGTTTTTTTTAAATAACACTGCCCTGATGCAGCAAATAATTATTCTGAGAAACATCTTTTATACATGGGACTTTACATGCAGTTGTACATGAATGTATTACATGCAGTACAATGCAGTGAGTACATTCATTTACTGAAATAATGCTACCCGGATGCAACCCGTATCTGGTATTCTTAGAAACATCTTTAATACACGTCAGTGACATCTTTTTAATTGTTTTTCTCCAGAGTCTTGCCCATAACCTTCATGACTGTCCTTTGTAATTCTTAGGCCTAAAAATTTTAGGAACACCTCAGAGTTTATGCTTGTGTCAACTTTTTGTTTCACATAAGGCCAAAAACTTGAAAACTAACATTTCCTGGGTGTTTTGTTCCTTTTCTAAACTTAGTTTCCCTGGTCTGTCAGAACTAAAGAAACCTAAAATACCTACCTGTCCCAAAATGTATTGTAGCAGTCTTTTTTGTTGGAGTGCCGACAAAAGAGGATGAGATAAGAGGTGACAACAGTGGAGAATGAATTCACTTCCACCTCGAGATAAGAGGTGACAACAGTGGAGAATGAATTCACTTCCACCTCCGATTTGCTTCATCTAGAGTTTTAAAAATAGCTAAAGAAGGATACAGTAGTGGTAAGGGCATGAGTCTGGAGCATTAATAGGTTATGCTTATCTAATTTTCTGCAGAGTGTGATGAAGATTCTTGTCAGGGAATTTTAATTTTGCATTTTTTTGTGTGATTTACAGACAGATGCCAGTGTCAAGGCCATATTTTCAAAAGTGATGGTTATTACAAGTAAGTTATTTTAAATCTATATAAAATTTAAGATTTAATTGAAGTATTTTTTATAATTGTTTCATGCAGTGTGTCATAATAGGCTATGACAACATAGGAATTTCAAATTTTCTTCAGTGTCTTATATGAGCAAGAGCTGGAGAAAGGATTTAGTATATAAATTTATTTTTGAGAATTTATTTCAATCATTATATAAGCTTACTGTAAAAACTGAATCTGTGCTTTGGTGTTGCTTGCTCTCTTGTTAATCTCTTTGAAGCTAATTTCACTGTGAGCCAAAATTTAAAGTAAAGAATATACATAATAACTACATAGCAGCTTCTTTGAAAATATATTAATATGCTTTTTTGGTTTAAGTGATGTTAAATAAAATGTTATTTAATTGCATTTAACAGTAAATACTAAAGTATTATGTGTCGTATCTCCTTTGTTCAATGTAGGAGTAGGGAAAAGTAGCTTAGCTGGCTGGTTTTGTTTTTGTTTTAGTTTTTTTTTTTTTGGTCACTGACTTGAAGCTCAAAAAGTAGCTGTTTTTGCAGGTTATTATTTGTTTTTCCTACCACCTCAGAGATCACTGTGTATAGCATATGGACAGAAGGATAATCAGGAACACCTGGAGGAATGCCTCTACTGAACTTAAAATGAAGAGATTTTAAGATGGATCTGAGATGCTAAATATTCCAAGATGTGTATGAACATAATGTTAAGACACTGAGGATTATAGTAAACCTAACTCATTGGGTTTTGAATTAAGTGATGAAAGTTTTAGTATGAGTAGAGCTTTAAGACCAAAATATCTTTCAGTCCTGGGTAAACTAGTTTTCGGTCCCCTAGGATAACTTGCTAAAGCAAGTCGTTTTGGGCTATTGCTTTTTTATAACTATTTCCTCAGTAGGTTAGCTGTGGATACTATCCCCTACAGGAAGCATTCTCTATATTCTACACTTTTTTCCCCCTCTGTCCATTTTCTTCTGGCAAGTACAGTGTTTCCCAGATTCTTTTCTGAGGAACACTAGTATCCTACAGGTGTTAACAGTATCGTGAGAAAAAAAGGGTTCCATGGTCATATATGTTTATAGAATGCTGAATTAAAAGTTTCTTTTTGTTTTCTCCCTTCTTTTTCCTTTCCCACCTTTGTTTTCTTAAATAATAATAAGACTTATTGTAGTTTCATGAGATGCCTATTTATTATGAAGGGGCTGTAAAGTGACTTTTTCCAAAATTGTTTGAAAACAGTACCTTTTTCTGAACACTGTGAAACTCTAGTGAACTGCTTGCTAGTGATCTTTGGAACACAGATTGCAAAGTGCCTGCACTAGCAGTTTTCCATCTTGCCCTCAGGTGCTTATTGTGTAAACTTTTAGTTTATCTTCTGTAATTGATCGTGTTTATTTGTTGCACCGTAATGTGGTTCTCTTTCTTTGCAGTTGATTTTTTTGTATTATAGAAACATGAGAAGGTCAAGTTATTTAGGATTAATGTATTAATGGATTCTTACTGCATTCTGTGATTAAATCATTCTCACCAAGATTTAACATTTCAGAGTTGTATGTGAACTTAAAGAATGCATGTATACTATATTCATATTTTAAGATTCAGTTGAATTTCTAGTATTTTTATAGTCCTGTATTACAATTGCTGTTATTAGAGTTATCCTAGTCTGGTTACCTATAGCAGTTAAGTAGCCAGAAAAAAGATACTAGGATCAACATTTTATTAGCTCTTGTAAGTGTTTTGATACGTAGACACCTTAGGAGAGTAGTACAAAAATCATTTTTAATTCAAAGACTTATCCTTTTTAACGTAGTAATGATATAACTGGTAGTAACACCTGGAATATGTTGCTTAGTATATGTCAGTGCTAGATAGCATGCATGTAGATGTGAATTATTTCTGGGTTAGTTTAACAATAAACAAGGAAATACAGGAAAATAGTTTCTTAAAGGGAAAACTTACTGATTAATCTCTTGCTGTGAATTATAAGAGAACAATGTATGCAACAAGCTAAAGGGGAAGTAATAAAAATGGTATTATTCCAGTTGACATTTAATGCCTTTAAATATTATAAGGAGTTATTTAGAAATAGCCAGTTCAGTCTTTTCTCCTGTATAGATGTCCCTTCACAGTGATCCTGTTTTATATTTCTAGAGAGCAAATTTTTATTTGTGAAAGGTAACTGTTGAAGGTACCTCACAATTTATTTTGTTAAACTAAACTGAATTCATAGGTAAGGATTATAAAAGTAATAAAAGGAATCAAAAATATTGATCTTGTATTATTTTGAGATTTTCTTTTGTATTTTAATTGAATTTTAATTTATTTTAAGGAAATTTGCCAGATCCTGGTAAGGCTCAAGATTTCATGAAGAAATTCACACAGGTGTTGGAAGATGATGAGAAAATAAGAAAACAGTTAGAAGTACTTGTTAGTCCAACATGTTCCTGCAAACAGGCTGAAGGTTGTGTGGTAAGGAGAGAAATTAAAAGAGCTCAATTTGAAAAAGTCTCCACACCTTTTTTTGGTTCCCTATTTTTATAAAAAATAATTTATATTCATTATGTAAAATTTAGAAAATGTCACGTAAATAACAATACAGATAAATTGTAATCTCTATAGAAACAATTGCTATTAATATTGTGGTATATTTCTTTCCCAAATGAGATTATATTATATGGTTTTGAACATTTTACTTAATTTTCATTAATCTTTTTGTAGGAGTTAATAGCTACATAGCATACCATTGAATATATGTACATAATTTATTGAGTAGTCCACTGTGTTACATGTTGAGATTTTTTCCCCACTTTTTGATTAAAGAGCAGTATAATTAATATCTTGATAGATAAATATCTTGATTATTTTTTAAGGATAAATTCCAAGAAGTACAATTGCAAGGTTTAAAGGTTCATTTTTAAAGCCTTTAATATTTATTGACAAATTGTTCTCCAGAACTGAATTAGTCTTACGGTAATCACCAGTAATGAGTGACCATTTTTCTAACACATAACAGTATCTGCCAGTATCATTGCTGGAAACAAAAACCAAATAAAAACAAACAAAAACAGTTATTTTGATGGATTTGTATTTATTGGTTGCTAGTCATCTCACCGTTTCTTCTCTTTTAGTTTATTGGCCATTCATATTTCTTTTGTAAGTTGTGTGTTTATAATCATTGCCTAGTTTTCTAAAATGGTATTTCTGTTTGTCATATTGATTTGTTAGTTTGTCACATGGTTTTGTCTGTTAAGTTGCAAATAATTTTCTGTCAATTGTAGTTTGCCCTTTCATTTTGTTTATGTTCTTTACATACCAAAATTTCTATTTTCATCTAGCTGAGTCTATCACTATTCTCCTAATGGTTTTTGTTTATAGTGTCCGGCTTATAAAATCTTATTCTGTTGCAGGTCAATGAAAATATTTACTATTGTCAGTGTTTCTTAATCTGTTACCCGTGTATCTTCTGAGATGCTTTTTAGAGAAAGGTCATTCTTGGCTCCATCCAAGATCAACTAAATGAGAATCCTCAGAGTTAGATGCAGGAATCTATAGTTTTAACAAGCTCCTCTGATAATTGCTTGCTGAAGTTTGTATTTCCAGTGACCCTTGATTTTAGTCTTTTGTAGTTTTATCCTTTTCACACATTTTTGGTGTGAGGTATGAAATAAAGACCTACCTTTGTTTTTATTCGAAATGTCTGTCCAGTTATTTTAATACAATATATTGAATAATCTGCCTTTTTCCTATTTACTTGAAATGGTACCTTTCCCATATGCTAAATTCTTAATCGAGTCTTTTTTTTCTGGATTTATTAAAATCTAATTGATTTGTTCTAGCACCAGTACTATATGGTTTTTATTATTGTAGATTCTTAACATTTTAATGTAATGATTTGTTTAAACATATTGTTATAATATTTTAAAAATCTGCATTACAGCGTGAAATAACTAAGAAGTTGGGCAACCCCAAACAGCCTACAAATCCTTTCCTGGAAATGATCAAGTTTCTGTTGGAGAGAATAGCACCTGTGCACATAGATACTGAATCTATCAGGTATTTGTACATAAAAATATTAAGTTCTCATTACGGTTTATTCATTCACACATTCAGGGGGTCAGTTACTATTGAGTATCTGCTATATACAAAATACCAAAGTAGCTACTCATCTGTGTATGTTTGCATATATGCTCATTTATATATATCTGTATGTATTTGTATGTGTATATATACATACTTACCTGTGTGTATCTGTATATAGTTTTTATTGTTATTTATTTTAAGTAGTGGTTCAAATTATGTGAGAAATTGTCAATCCAAATCTAATTTTTATCTGTTGACAGTATACCAGGAACTCCTCTTTTTTGTTAGCTTACAAAGGTTAGATAATATAAACATATTTTAGGCCAGGCTCAGTGGCTCACTCCTGCAATCAGTCCTAATACTCTGGAGCATTGCTTGAACTCAGGAGTTCAAGACCAGACTGAGCAAGAGCAAGACCCCATCTCTACTAAAAATAAAAAAATTAGCCAAGCATTGTGGCACATACCTGTAATCTACTACTTGGGAGGCTGAGGTAGGAGGATTGCTTGAGCCCAGGAATTTGAGGTTGCAGTGAGCTGTGATGATGCCACTGCACTCTAGCTGGAGCAACCAAGTGAGACTCTGTCTCAAAAAATAAATAAATAAAATAAAGTAAACATATTTTAGTTATACCCTCAAGAAAAGAAAACTAGGTAAATCTGTTACGAAGGAACATATGATGCATTTTCACAGATATTTAACAAAATATCTTCTAAATAGAGGTCACTATAGGAGACTAGCTAAGAACATTTTTGAAAAAAGTAAACTAGGGAAAGGGAGAAAACACTTATCAGATAGTAAAAAACCAAAAAATACTATAAAGTTACACTAACCAAATCAACATGGTACATTAGAAAATCATGAAACAGAAAAAGCAAAGTAATAGACCTTAGCGTATATGAGAATTTAGATTACATAAATTGTAAATGGATTAGTAGTCTACTGAGATTGCATAGAAAGAAGTAAAAGATCGTGGACAGAACCTTGGAAATTTTTTTACAGTAGAGAAATTACAGAGATGTAAGAAGACCATATTATTGCAATGTTGTGAAATTTCAGATGGAGAAAGTTTTCAGAAGTAAGGTATACTGTGAACAAACAGAGACTGAGGACCAAGAAACAGGCCTTTGGCTTTAGCAATCAGGGGGTCATAGTGATCTAGAGGAATATGTCAAAACATAAACTATAACCGGTAGCAGTCAGTGCTTTATAACATGCCTGGGATGACTACAAGAGTTTTTCATGTTTTAACTAATTTTACTTCTTTCTGAGATGGCAGCTATTATTATTCACATTTTACAGATAAGGAGCAGTGAATTACACAGATGTTGAGTAACTTTCCCACTTCTGGGAAGTGGAGAACAGTGTTTAAACCCAGGAAGTCTGGCTCCAGTGCCCACTTGGTTAACCACCATGCTGTACAATAAGCCTCCAGAAAGATTATACTTTTAGCCTCCTCTAATAGTTAATAAGTGTCCATGTCACCTGACTCTTTCCAACAGTGGTTATTAACCTTTTCCGTCTTTGTCATTTTATAAGTGAATGAATGATGGTACCATTTAAAAAGCTTTTGTATTACAAAGAAAGTTGAATATTTGTTAATTAAGTTGAATTTTTTTTCATGTTTCTTGGCTAATTGCGTCTTTTGGGGAAAATGCCTTATTTTTCTATGAGGGACTCAGAGGAATTGTCTTTTTCTTATTGATTCTACAAATGCTTTATAAAAAATAAGGCTGTCATCCCAGTTGGATTGCGTGTTTTTTTTTTTTTTTTTTTTTGAGACAGAGTCTCGCTTTTGTTGCCCAGGCTAGAGTGAGTGCCGTGGCGTCAGCCTAGGCACTCAAACTCCTGGGCTCAAGCGATCCTCCTGCCTCTGCCTCCTGCATAGCTGGGACTACAGGCATGCGCCACCATGCCCAGCTAATTTTTTCTGTATATTTTTAGTTGTCCAATTAATTTCTTTCTATTTTAGTAGAGATGGGGTCTTGCTCTTGCTCAGGCTGGTTTCGAACTCCTGAGCTCAAACAATCCACCCGCCTCAGCCTCCCAGAGTGCTAGGATTACAGGCGTGAGCCACCGCGCCTGGCCTTGGATTGCGTTTTAAATCCCAGGCTGTCATCCCAGTTGGATTGCTTGACATTAATAAATACTAAATTATATAATTAAATATGTCAGTCATTTCCTTTATGGTTTCTTTCTGCCTTTGGTATCATATTAGCAGTTCTGTTTTTTACATTTAAATTTGTAACTAGCCTGGAATTTAGTATAAGGCAAACAGATCCAACTCTTTTTTTTAAGGCACATGATAGATAGTTACACCAACTTCATTTGTTGAAAAATTGATTTATTCTCATTTGATTTGAAATATTCCCTTATTATAGCATAAATTCTTAGGTAGTTTGGACCCTTACTGGATTTTCTTTTTGGTTCTTTTGTTCTTTTGAGGTTATGATACATTTTTATCTCATAGAGGAAGTTCTTTCATCCCTCTTCTCATAAAATTTATTAGCTGTTCACGAACATTAATTAATTCTTCCAGATGAGCCTTAGTGTGCATTTGTTGAATCTTGCCCAACACCAAGTGACTTATAGATTCTGTGCATTATAACTTTTTATTTTTAGTTATTTTATATATTTTTGACTTGTCATTATGAATAGATAGCTCCTCTCTGTTTTTTAGGTGGCTTTTGCTGATACAGAAAAGCACTATTAATTTTTGAGTGTTTTGTTGGTGTTGCTTCACTGAATTCTTAGTATTTTTAAATCATTTTTCAGTTGCTTCTCTTTAGTCTTTTGGGTTGATGTTTTTTCCCCACAGATTTTTTTTCGTATGACTATTGTTCTTCACTTATAAGCTTAGTTGTACTTCTTCAAAAATGCCTTTCCTAATTACCTCAGCTAAAGAACTTGACTTCTTGTCATGGCCTTTTTTGTAGTCCTTATTGTTCTCCGATGATCTTTTTTATGTGTTTGCTTTAGCCTTCCTTCACTAGACTGAGAGCTTCATGCCTTCAGTCATGGAAGAAAATAATGAGTTTAATTTTGGATATGTGCTATTTTTCATTCCTGTGGTACATCTAGGTAAAAAATCTTAGAGGTCACTAAAAATATGGGAAGAGGATTCAGATTGAAGATTTCAATTTAGGATAGTTGGAGATATGAGAATAGAATAATCAAGGAAAATGAGCAGAAAAAGAAGAGAGAGACTCTCAGAAATATCAGCTCTTAGAGGGATGATAAATCTAAGGGTACCCTGTAAGGGAGACAGATACATTAGACTTGTAGCTTGACTTTAAATTTGAGGACATAATATTTTTGTAGAAACGTATATTTACTAAACGTTTTAAAGAACATTGAATAATTCAATTTTCTTGTATATTGGTATGTTTTATGTCTCTATTTAACCTGGTGTTTGTTATTTGTAAAAAGAACAAATACTCATCAGTGTAAATGATTATTTTAGATAATTGTCAATGTATTACAGCTGTTTATTTTAAAGTAATAAGCTTGTTTTTAGAAGAAAGTTTGAAAACATTGTGTTTCCGTTTTGATCTACTGTAGTTCCTTTTCTAATGTCCTAGCGAGGTTTTATCGTATGTCTGTTATCTAGGTATTTTTATAACTTTTAGGAGCTGGCCTGTGTTTCTGGCTCTTGTAGTTCTGCCTGACACGCTATAATATTTGACAAATGGTTTGAAAGTGCTTAAGGTTGCCATTTATCCTTTTTTATTTCAGTTTATATTGTTCTACTTGCTGGACTAATAATGAATTTTAGATAATTGAAAAATAATCTATCATTTTTGTGTTTGGGCTCAGGCCATCCATGGAAAAGACAATAATAAAGATATTGATAGCCTTAATAAAGAGCAAATCAAATAACATTTTTACCTCATTTGAATGGATAAGAGAAAATAACTGTTTTTGAAATACAGCATCTCGAAGTATTTTATTATAGTTATTTGTTTTGCACTGGTGTTTGAGAAACAGCTATGTCATTTCTATGTGGTTTGGATGTGGTGTATATATAAGATTTAGGATTTTCTTTGACACTGCTATTAAATAACAGTTGAAAAAATGATGGCTTTATTTTTTTGTCATACTTCAGTGCTCTTATTAAGCAAGTGAACAAATCTATAGATGGAACAGCAGATGATGAAGATGAGGGTGTTCCAACTGATCAAGCTATCAGGGCAGGTCTTGAACTGCTTAAGGTAAATGTCTGTTTGAAATCAAATGCCTACTTAGATAACTGTTAAACATACGTAGTTTATATCACTGTTCTTGAGGTTTGCTTAAGTTTACATAACCTAAAGTAAAGTTTTTTCAGTTGTTTTAGATAATTTAGGAATTGCATATTTGTTCTGACATGTAAGCTGAACATTTTCAGATTTAAATTCTATAATGTAGTCTTGTATTAATTACATTAAAATAGTAGAGTATGATTTAAGGTATAATTAGTGAGCAGAGAAGATACTAACTACCACAGAATGAGCCAAATTCTTCCTAAAACCCTATTTTAGTTTTTATTTTGTTTCATAAAATGTACTACTGCCTTTTACTGATTATAAAACTATCACGTCATTATTGACAACTTAGAATGTATAAAACGATAAACAAAACATTCGTAGGCCCATCATATATAAACATTGATTAGTTTCTTTTGTTTCCTTTTAATCTTCAAAAAAGGCATAGTTTTATATAGTGGAGATTAGACTGAATGTGCAATTTTGTATCCTGAACTATTTTTTCTTATTAAAGTATAAGCATTTTCTCAGTATTTTTAAGCATATCAAAACAGTTCTAATTTTTGGCTGTCATTTACTAGCTGTGTGCTTTTGGACACATTATTTGCCTCACTTCCTCATCTGAAATGGAGATAATTAAGTACTTGTCTCACAGAGGACTACATTAAATCATGTACAGCACAATGCCTGCCTCATAGTAAAAATAATAATAGATGTTATTTTTTGAAATGCTGATTAGTACACTTTTGGGTAACATAGTGTTACTGTTTTCGTATTGCTGGCTATTTAGATTTTTCTAATTTTATTCTTATAAACAGTACAGGATGAATATTTCTATGTAAGATCTCTTGGTAATGTCTTTTTTTTTTTGGGAAAACTGGAAGGGCATTAGTGGGTCAAAGATGATGACCATTTTCAAAATTCTTAGATATATGTATTCAGATTCCTTTACAGAAAAATTGTACTATATCCCATCAATAGTGTATGAAGGTACTCATCTTCTTAACCCTTACAACATGGAATATTATAAATTTTAAAAAGATTTGCAAATCTGATAACCAAAAATGTTTTAATTTGCATAATTATTACTAATGAGGCCCATCTTCCATGTGTTAATTATTGGTGTTTTCCCTATGGTGAATTCATTATTTTTATCCTTTATTCATATATCCATTGATATCTCAAACTTTTATTTTTTTTAGTGATTTGAATGAGCTTTTTATTTCCTTTGCTTTTTTTAATGGGATATATTTGACATTTAAAAAATGTATTCTATGTATGTTATGAAGTATATAATAAAATGAAGTCAGTGAAAAGTAAATAGAATGTTAAATTAAATTGAGTATTAAAAATACTGTTGAAGATCCCTGAGTGGTTTTTCTCCTTGACTCACATCCCCCAGGTATTACTGTCCTAAATTTTGGATTTATTATTCTCTTAACATTCTTTATAGTTTTATCATCTATAACTATGTATATATCTCTAAATAACATTGATTAATTTGATTATTTTCAAGTCTTAAAATGGCATTATATGTAGTATATTTTTTTGCTTTTTTTTTTGCATGCCACAGTTGATTCCCATTGCTTATATTTGTTCACAGAGTTTTTATTGTTTTTGTTTTTTAAAGTCTTAATCCATTTGCAATTTATTTAAATTGTGTATGGGGGGTCTAATTTGATTTTCTCCCAATAGCTATTCAGTTTTCTCAGGACTGTTTTCTGTTGCCTTCTTTATAATCAGTTACAATTTATGTAATCCAAATTCTCATATACGCTAAGGTCTATTACTTTGCTTTTTCTGTTTCATGATTTTCTAATGTACCGTGTTGGTTTGGTTAGTGTAACTTTATAGTTTTTTTTGGTTTTTTACTATCTGATAAGTGTTTTCTCCCTTTCCCTAGTTTACTTTTTTCAAAAATGTTCTTAGCTAGTCTCCTATAGTGACCTTTATTTAGAAAATATTTCGTTAAATTCTCTCTTTCTGTCCCCTTTTCTCTTATCCTCATTCCCCACCCCACCAAAAAAATACCCCAAACAGTAATCAAAATCCAAATTATTTTGATTAGAAGCATAATAACATGTAATGTAATTTTGGAAGAAATGACTTCTTTATATCATATAATCTTGCTGCATAAGAACATTCTGTTATATATTTGAGTTTTAAATTTTAGTTGTAATGCTCTCAATTTCTTGTTAGCTTATTTATTTATTTATTTTTTTTTTGAGACAGAATCTCACTGTGTTGCCCAGGCTAGAGTGCCGTGGCGTCATCCTCGCTCACAGCAACCTCAAACTCCTGGGCTCAGGTGATCCTCCTGCCTCAGCCTCCTGAGTAGCTGGGACTACAGGCACGCGCCACCATGCCCGGCTAATTTTTTCTATATATTTTTAGTTGTCCAATTAATTTCTTTCTATTTTTAGTAGAGACGGGGTCTCGCTCTTGCTCAGGCTGGTTTCGAACTCCTGAGCTCAAACAATCCGCCCGCCTTGGCCTCCCAGAGAGCTAGGATTACAGGGGTGAGCCACCGCGCCCGGCCTAGCTTAGTTATTTTTGTATTGACTTTGATTTGTAGTATTTCTAATGTAATATTTTGGATCTGTGTTTTAAAGATGAAAAGGTTTTACAAATCATTTTTATGATCAATTTTGTAGGTACTCTCATTTACACATCCCATTTCCTTTCATTCTGCTGAAACATTTGAATCACTCTTGGCTTGTCTCAAAATGGATGATGAAAAAGTAGCAGAAGCTGCATTACAAATTTTTAAAAACACAGGAAGCAAAATCGAAGAGGATTTCCCACATATCAGATCGTGAGTCGAGTTTATTATGATAAATATTATGGGAATCAGAAAAATAATTTTATATTTCTTGATTTATGTAAAAATTGGAATCTTTCGAGTTTTGAGGAAAACTGTCTAGGTTATCTTAAGCCTATATTGTTCAATTTAGATTCACTTTTCCTGGGAGAAAGCATTGATTGTTATTTTAGAAGATACATGAAAATGGGGGATAAATATGGCATATCTTTCTGAAGCATCAGTTTAACAGTGCCTGATACATTTCGGCATAGAGTAAACAATTCACATGAATTTAAGGTACAAGGTGAAATTTCAAAGGTGTTTCAGCAGGACTGTCCATAGTACTCTTTACTTTTCTCTGTGATTAAGGGTACTGGACCAAAAATTTTCAGAAGCAGTGCTTTACTTGACGTAGGGAAGTAGGGAAGCATAGAATACTCATCTCAACAGCAGTGTAATTTTTGTCTGCATTCCAGTATTTCTAAGAATTAGAAATTGAGCTGTTATCCTAGGACTCTGTAATAGTGGTTGATCATTGTTCAAGATTACAGAATAGCTCAGAAGACTAAGTCTTCATTCCTTATAAGTAACTACATGCTTTTCTATATTCATCTCTTCTCCCTGTTCCTGGAGAGAAGATCCAATGAGTGGTCCTGATAATTGCCACCGTCATAGGTGGTAGGTTTCACCTCTGTCTCATCACTCGGGCTTAGCCACTGGTCTGGTTAGTTGTGGTTGGGGTATTATGTTTCTTCATGCAGAAGAATAGCCTATGGCTCTTTTCCTCAGAAAGAGACAATGGACAAAGCTAGCTCTTAGAGTTTCAGATATAATTTTTGTTACTTTTTGTTCATGTGAACTTAATTCTAAAACCTGCTGATAAATAGGACAAAGGCATTATTTAAAATGGTAATTGAAACATACTAGAATTTTGTAACACTAGTCTCTCTGACAAAGAGTAAGAAACCTTATTGTTTGGAATTGGCTTCTTAATTTTTAAGTGAGCCCAGAGCATAAGTTTCCCTTTGCAGGGATACTGTGGCTCTTCTAGTCAGATCAGAGATTAGAGTTTGGTTTTTAAAACACACACAAGCACGAGCACACACACACTCCTTCTCTCTCTCTCTCTGTCTCTATCTTGATACGTGTGTGTGTGTGTATAAAAACTGTGTATAACTTTGTATCATTTACTGAATGCCTACCAGTTGTACTGTCTCGTTTAAAACTTGTAACAATTCAGTGAAATGTGGTTATTATCCTTTTTTTCCAAATGAGGAATCTAATGTTCAGAGAGGTTAATGGATCTAGGTCATATAGCTAGCAAATGGCAGAGCCAGGATTTGAATTTAGGCCTGTTTGGCTTCAATGCCTGTGGTACCATATCCGTTATGGCACAGTTCCTTTCTTCATTAGATCATTGAACAAATTTTAGTTTGGCTTATTCACTAGAGTTTTTTTTTTTTTTTTACTATTTTCATTCTAGACTGTCTTCCTAGTATTCTTTATATATATGTATTTTAAACTTTAATCCCATGACAGATTACCTTTATATTTTAAAGAAACATTGTTTGATATATTTGTAGGAGAACTGCGAGAGCAAGGTCGACAGGTGGACATTTTAGAACACGCAAGGGCATTTTAAAACATGTGCTGCTTTAATATGGAACTGAAGCACTTAAAATTATTTGATTTATATGCTGAATATATTTCAAATGTCTCTCATGAGGAGAATTAACTCAACTGATATTGATTACCTGCTGTATGCACAACTGTTCTTGATGAAGTAACTAATATCTTCAGGAGATAAAATATGTATGCAGATTTAATGTTTTAAATTATTAAATTGGGTGAGTTGATTTTCAGGAAAAATAATAGAGTTAAGTTAATCTTGATTAAACTATCTTCCCTTGAATTCACCAAAATAATTAAAAACCCAAAGAAAAATGTTTCTAAGTAGAAGCTACCACAAACTGGAATTGGCACCAGTTATGCCATTTAGACTGAATTGAATGTGAGAACACTAACAATTGATACAGAATCAGCTATATAAGGCAATGTATAGTAAGTGTCCTATTCTTTGCTAATTTAGAGGGAAGAAATTGAGGTATAGACATGCTTTAAAAGAATTAAGGAAAAAATGATTTCAGCTGTAATAGGACTCATAGAGAGATTTTGTGGTCACACCATTTTTCTTTAAGCCAAGCTATTTTCCTTACTAGGAAGAGTTTGCTTACCAGGAAGTTTTGGCTTAGTGGTAAGACTAAGACTAAAGGGAGAATCATGAAAGAAATGTCTTTTTACCAACTTTACAGGAATAGAAAAAATTATGTGCTGACACACTAAACAAAAATAATGATGAGTTATGGGGTTACATTCTGACTCAGCCTGTCTCTCGGGAGTCTGGCTTACCTGAAAGTAGGCAGATGTGCCAGAACTGAGAGTCCCCTCATAGCATATGATATACCCATAGCCCAAGTGGAGCTGGTTCTCACCTTTGTAAGAGTTTTAACACACTTGGAGAGAAATTACAGAGCGACAAGGACTCACTACCTTTAGCCCTAACTTTCTTCTCTATGCTACTTAGCTGATTAAGTAACTGCGACCTTAGTTGGGAGTGTTGATGTTAATTTTTTAAGAGAAGCATTTGGTGTCCAGTCATCAGGGAGATACTATCTATACTTCTGTTTAAATGGCAGAGCCAGAGAGAATTTTTGTTACTCAAAGATGAATTAACAGAATACAGATGAGCAAATTAAGCATGAAACCTGTGTAAATATTTTAGTATTCAAAAGATAGATGATAAGCACTATTTAGAAGAATTGAATTTTTCTAGAATAAAAAGAAAACAGCAAATGACATCTGGGGGGAAAGAAGAACAAAAAGATAATATATACAAAGTAGCTAAGGATAAAGAAGAACAAATTTATTTGCATTATAGAATATATTTTGCAACACAGTGAGACTCTGTCTCAAAAAAATAAAAAAAAGAATATATTTTGTTATAAATAAGCAAGGAACAAAATAAACAATGTAGAAGATGAAATCGGTAAGCTAGAGATTGGGCGTGAAGAAAACTGCCCAGTGCTTTGGAAAATATGGGCAAAAAATGAAGGCAGTTAAAGAGAATGAATTGCAGATAACAAAACATCATAACTGACTTTTTTGGAGAAGACAGTAGAATAATGGGAATTGGAAAATATTCGAGAAAATCATAATAACCCTGTTTAAAATGAATGAAAACATGAATCTAGAGATCAAGAAGACTCATATTTTAGGAAAATATCCTGGTGTAATATACTGAATTTTCAGGAATTACAAGAATTATTTCACAAACATCAGGAAAAACAAGTTAACTAAGTTTAGTACAGTAGAAAATGATAAGGCTGACTTACTTCTTTTCAACCACATAAAATTTCTGAAGTTAATGATTCAACAGCTGAAAAGTTGTGATGGAAAAAACAATGTAACTAAAGAATTCCCTAGGTAGCCCAAGTTGTGTTTAAGTAAGGACAAATGAAGGATGTCCTTCAGTGTTTAAGGACTCAGGAAATGTATCTTGCCCTTTTTATTGTGAGATCTGTCTATCCAGTTAGTTGTATGGTTCTCTCTCTCGAATTCAGTTCTGCTTGTGCCCCCTAAGTCTGCCTTTTGTTTTCTTCCTGTTTGAATATCTCTGGTTTGTCTTTGCCTATCATTTTACTCTCATTATTTAACTTTTAGATATGGCTGTGCAAATACATCTGAAAACCCAAATTTTTTTTTAAGGATGATGTAAATAAACTGACTCAAGAAGAGGGAAGAAAATGCCTAATAGACTATATATTTATAAAAAAATTGGGGAAATTATCTTCTAATAAAAGCATCAATATAAGTTGTCATGAGGGAGATAGTACACATCTACAAGAAACCAGGAATTCTAATTATTTTTAATTATTCGGAATATGGGTGGGGGAACCCTAATATTCTTTAAAGCCAGGATAACTAACATGGATGGTAAAATCTGATAAAAGACATTCCCCCAAAGGAAAACTAAGACAAATTTTATTAACGATTTTTTGCATAAGTAAAATATTAGCAAAAAGGGTTTATAGTAAAATAAGAATATATCATGGACAAATGTGGTTAATTTTAGGAATACAAAGAGGGTTGGTATTAGTAAGCCTAATATTTATGTTTATAATTCATTATATAAGTTGGTTTAGGGGAAGTCTACACGATAGATTGTTTTGATAGATGCTGAAAGGGCTTCTGATTTTTTAGAAAACTAGTCTATTTCTAATTAGATCTAAAAATAAGTATAAATGCCTTCATAACATAAAATAAATATCTCTCAAACCGGTAGGCACCATCATGCAATAAAACAGAAGCAGTCTCAGTAAAATCAGGAACAAGATGAGAAACCACACTCTCTCTGCTATTATTTAACATTGTTTTCGAAGCATTCACCAATGTAACTGCATAAGAAAACAAAAATAAGAGGTATAAGTGTTTGAAAGGAAGAAGAAACATTATAATTTTTCTTGGAAAATCCAGGAGGATCAATTGAAAAACTACTAGAAATGGGGTAGCCAAAATAAATATGTAAAAATCCAAAGCTTTCCTTAAATGTCACTAACAACCATTTAGAAAATATTATTAGAGTAAACATCAGAAGACCTAGAAGTATATGAGAAATTTGCAATCTTGTAATGGTGGATGGGGGATTATAATATTAAGTAAATTGGTCAGGAAAAGTTAGGTTATCCAATAAATAACTAACAAGCTGTTTTGAAAAGAAAAAATTAGTGTAGACTGCTTACCTTGATTTTTATAATCTATATATTCTAGGTGGATCAAAGATAAATTCTTCCTTTGTCTAAGATATAAATATATAAAATGGGTTAATGAAAGTATTAGTAACCAGTGTGTTTCTGTAACTTCTTTGTGAGGGAAGGGACACCAATGCCAAGTCATGAATGAAAAGTGATAGATTGGATTATTTGTTAAAAATCCATTTGTTGAAAAAATATTTG